ATTCGTTGCGCTGACCACGTGGCTAAAGTTGACACTAACTTCGCTGACAAGCGGCGGTCGCTCGGTGGTATAGTTCGCTTGCGGACTAAAGCCACGGAGTTGTTTTAGTTAAGCAAGTTAGCATTACCAGTGACACGAAACTGTACGCTCCAAAAGTTAAGTACCGTCCATTGGAATCATGCTGATGGAAAGTTTCGTGAAAATCTTTCAGCTGGTCCCGGAGTTCCTAGGAGGAAGAGATCAGTAGACATGCTGATAGCGTCTCTGTTGAGTAAGGAAGCTGAGAATATGAATCAGCAGATAAACAATTATGTGGAAGGCGTGAAAGTGTCCACGATGTCACTGGTACACTACACATTCAAATATATACAATCGATAAAGGTGTTTTATCTGCTAGATAAATGGAGTTAACTGTTCAAGATAATTGTTCCATGATAAACTGTTGTGTTTGTGGTCGCCTTCAGACAGACCTTTCCCTGCTGCAGATGCGTCAGATATCTCTTCCCGTCGTTAGATAGATACTTTCCTAAAAAAAGGAAAGAAATAAAACATCTTTCCATGCTGTACCGGACATTATTTCCCAAAGAACTTCAATTAACACGTAAATGTGTATTGGCCCTAACTTATACATCAAGTTTCCAAAAAAGTTCTCTTAATGCCAGTCACCTATTAATATCCCAAGTTTATTAAAAAAAATAGCACTGTCCCTTACGTAAAATTCTGCAGCTTCCTCTATTATGCTAATACTTTAAATACTGAATTCCTTCTATATCTATAAAAATAAAAACGTAAATGTTGGTTTGTGTCTTATCGAAGATCTCCTAAAGTTCTTCACCGATTGCTTTGAAATTTTGACACAACGTTGCATTCGAACACGTGCGTGCTTTCATATACCTATTATATAGATGTCACACCCGTGACAGGTAAAAACAAGTAAAAGTATTAATTGTATTCAATATAATATACTGTAACGTGTTATGCGTCGTCCATCGAATACCAAGAGATCGTTGCCTAGGAATAACCGTGGTAACGAACTGTTGAAACTGTTCGCTGCCTAGGAATAACCGTGGTAACGAACTGTTGAAACTGTTCGCTGCCTAGGAATAACCGTGGCAACGAACTGTTGAAACTGCGGAAATAATGCATTTCTGCGGCAACGAGCACAGAACACGTGAAATGGAACCCTGGGCGAAAGTGTCCTCTATTGCATCCGAAACCGGGTTATAATAGTCCAGCTCCGAAGAATTTTTCGGTGATACTGGACGTGATAATAATTGTACTCGCTGGTGTAAAAGTGAGCGTTCAATAACTTATTCGCTGAATCCGAGACGTGCATGGAAGTTATTTCGTAAGTATAGTTTATTTTTCATTGTTTTTCTTTTCGTTTTCTAAGAACAGGCTTAGTTCGTCGTACTCGCGGAGCGGAAGCAATGCGTCGAGTAATTTCAAATGAAACTGGGAAAGAACGGGCAGACTGAGCCACAGCAAGGCGTGGCCGGGCACAGCTAGCTATATATAAAAATTCAGCTCGTACCTCACAGGAAACACTCTGTCTCCGCTACAAAATCCAACCGGTTAATGCTGCTAATGGAAACAGTCACTGTTTCTTGTGTGAACCATACGGAACACACAGTTACACTCTGTGGACAGGATGCAGAGGTTTTTGGTACATTAAAGCAGCTGCTATGTTGTTAATACTATTATGGCTTTACAGCCCTTCGTTGGGCCTTGACCGATTTTTCAGTTTCTTGTCTTATACACAGTCGGTAACACTCCTTGGACGGGGGATTAGACCATCACAAGGCCTCTACCTACACACAGAACAACACAAACACAGAATAAACGCATACAGACATCCATGCCTTGAGTGGGATTCGAACCGACGATCCCAGTGTTCGAGCGAGCGAAAGACGGTTCATGCATTAGACAGAGAACTGGTCGTTTTGTGTTTACTTGGTTCGTTTCCTAGCTACATACGAACTAAGTTACTAACTCCATTACCATGGAGCTGAGTCCTTCTTGATCAAAATTATATTTTTCACATTTCTTATACATAATCTGCAATAAATGTATGTGTTTAATAAGTACAGGCTCGTAAATGAGCTGTGCACAGTGGCCTAACTCATAGGTAAAGTTGTCCCTGTACTTAACTAATTAAGCACTACCCCATGACGGCGAATGGGGGATAATATGCACTTGTTTTTGTTCAGTTAGGTGTCATTTCAATGCTTGTATTGGAGTTTTACTCAGTCCCTCTGGTAGAGCTAGGACAGTGTATCTATTCAGTTTGTGTGTAATTTCGCTGTTTTCTAGTAGGTTCATTGCTAATGCATTTAAAAAAAATTGTTCAACTGGGTCCTCTCGGAACGGCGGCCACCGATGGCCTATTGTACCTGCCCCGGGTGATTATGATGGAGAATTTGTGGAATGAAGATTGGCAGGGGAAACCGAAGTACTCGAGAAAACCCGCCCCAGCGCCACTTTGTCCACCACAAATCCCACTTGACCAGACCCGGGATCGCACCCGGGCCACCGCGATGGGAAGCGACTAACCGCTTGAGCTATGGCGCGGCCACCTGCTAATACATTAGTGTGCTTTCCTAATTTTCTTGTTTTTATTCTTTTTTTTTTTGCTAGTAGGGTGGGACTAAGTCCCTTGTATTGCGTCCACTTCTGGCCTCTTGTACCAGCCCCAGATGATAGGTGAGGGTGATTGTGGAGCAATTGGTGGAAGGAAGATTGACAGGGGAAACCGAAGTACTCGGAGAAAACCTGCCCCAGCGCCACTTTGTCCACGACAAATCCCACTTGACGAGACCCGGGATCGAACCCGGGCCGCCTCGGTGGGAAGCGACTAACCGCTTGAGGTATGGCGCGGTCAATTTTTTTAAGTATTTGGTATTCTGCTTTTTTGTTTCACTGAGCACTGTGTTCATTTGTAGATTCTATGGATCCTGTGGTTGTTTAGATAACCAAAGGAAAAAAAATAATGACAACAACACGTGGTGTTCCCAAGCGGTCACCCATCCAAGTACTAACCACGCCCAATGTTGCTTAACTTCGGTGATCGGACGAGAACCGGTGTTTTCAACATGGTATGGCCGTTGCCAGAACATGTACGTATTCGATTCGTTAGTTGATGAACGTTATATTAGCAGGTTCAATAGTTTATGTATTTAATGTGAGAATTTATAAATAAAAATAGTATTTTGCTTGTAGCTCAGAACAAGTTCACATGTTATTTCACTTTTAACTAGACAAAACTTGTGAGATGTACATCACGCCACTGACTTGCGTCTGGCACCCCACCTACCACCTCTCTAGCTGAGACATTACTATCGATTGCTGAAAGTCAGAGGCGTAGCCGGCCAACTCCTACCTGTCTTTCCCTCCGTGTAAGGGAGTCAGTCGATATGATATGAACTATTTTATAAATACAGTTCAAAAGAAATAATGTGGAGCCAACCAATAAATGAAATCGAATTTCGGAGTGTCCATTAACCATGCCGTGTGTATACTTTATGACTGACCCAGTTGACGGGGTTTACAAATGTTTCTTAGGATATTAAATTGGTGACTAGTTGTTAAAGTAAGCATGCATGCTGCTTACGTAAAGGGATTGGTCTTTCCCTTGAAGATGGAAGCAGTTTGACCCTCTGTAACGTCGGTAAACCTCTACCAGACTACAAGAAAATAGTGCTCCTCACAGCCACCGCTGTTAACATCTCAAATCTCACATAGGAATCGTTAATTCACCAACTTCCCGTAAGTCTATTAATGGTATTAGAACGTTAGTACATGGTACGCTATCAGCTGGATATTTCCCTCGGTACTGTCTTTTGTTCAGTCATGTAACAGACTGTTGATTTCTTCCCTTTTTTTGCTAAATTTACGCATTATCGAAGGTAGAAGGTAAAGTTGTCCCTGTGCTTAACGAATCAAGCACCACGCTATGAAGGCGTATGGGGTAGTGGATATAGAAATCCACATTTTCTTGATCTCGGCACTACCTGGAGGTAGTGCCCCGGTCGCTTTACCGCCGGTACCCATTGTATAGGAGGTTGGGTGGACCCCAGAGCCAGTCTGAACGACGTGGAGAAAATTCTTGCCCCTGTCGGGACTCAAACTTCGACCCTTCAGTCGCTATACCGACCACGCTACCTGGGCTCCATTATTCAAATTCTTGCCATAAACTGTGATCACAATAAGGGCGAGATTTTGTTTTAAAACAGTGTCACAGATTTCACCTATAAGGACTGATGGAGTTGACAGGAGTCAACCATGTCATCTGTCCACCAATCAACACCAAATATAACCAACCACATAATCGAAATATTGGTCAAGAAAAATGAGGTCAACGAACAACTACAAAACATGGCTACAATGTGAAGAGCAGCAGGAGGGCACAAATTTAACTATAATTTCAGTTTCAATTTTGATTTTAATTATAAATTTTAAGCCGGAACAGCGTAGTCAATATAGCGACTGGTTACGGGCTGGGCGACCTAGGGTTCAGAGTTCGAGTACCTTAGGGTCAAGGATTTTCTTTCCACCGTAGCGTCCAGACCGTCTCTGGGGCCAAACCAGCCTCCTATCCAGTGGGTGTAGGGGCTGTTTCCCCATGGGCAAAGCGGCCGAGGCGTGAAGATGACCACTTTCCTCCAACCAATGCCGAGGTCAATAATGCGTGGATCTATACATCCACTCCCCCATACGTCTTCATGCCGTAGTGCTTAATCAGTTAAGCACAGGGAGAACTCTACCTCTTAATTATAACTGTAACCTAGTTTTGACCGATTAAAGATTGGAACATGACAAGCATGTGCAGTGTGACAAGTCGTGTATTACATAGACGCTGATGGTGGCGGCCTTACACCAACGTAGTGTTACTAAGTACACAGCGACACTGTAACTGATTAAATAAAAACAAACACAATCCAAGAATGTCACTAAAATTATTACGTAGGGAAGGAAGCATACATAGGTGATCAAAGACTTACCGCTGATGTAGGACCACGGGAACGTCTGTTGATAGAAAACGTATCATTTATGATCTTCCAGTTCGTGGGCACAGGCTTTATCCACAGAACGAACTCCATCTGCAATTGTAATGGGGGAAATAAGCAACACTAAAATAAAATGAATACAACAAAAATATGACACGTGAGTATCCTGGAAACAGTTGAATCACGCAGCACAACCGATCCATATCACAGGAAAGAGATTACGTTCTCTGACACTGATCACAATTTTCTGTTATCTGATGCTTGGTATGTCTATTGCCGATCACAGTGGCCGGCCGCGCGGTCCGAAGCATGGACCCTCTTCGCACGCTCGAACACTGGGATCGCAGGTTCGAATCCTACTCAAGGCATGGAAGTTTGTCTGCGTTTCTTCTGCGTTTGTGTGTAGGTAGCGGCCTTGCGACAGGCTGATCACTCGTCCAAGGAGTCCTACCGACTGTCTAAATAAACGAAGGGAAACGAAATGTTTCACGGACGCCCTATGCTACAAGCNACAGCGTCACAGCTTTAAGGTGGCATTACTCACCAACTTTGCAACAAACGTATCGCCAGCCGTTAGGCTGAAAACCCACTGACGCGACTAGTCGCGAGCGGCTAGCCGCTCTTTGTCGCGCGCGTCCGTTAGTTGTACATATTAGGCGTGCGACAGCTCTGCCGTCTGTGTGCCGCGATCCAAAACTTAACCGCGCGCGGCGCATAAAAGCAATACAAATAACGGCCGCAAGCGACAACACTCGACAAACCGCGCGCGGCTTGTCGCGTCAGTGAGTTTTCAGGCTAACAACAATTATCATTATATTACTTTAGTTTTTTATGGCTTATATAAGGACGCTGTGAACAGCTCAAAATTGTGAGATGATAGGTAAACTGGAAAGGCTGTGGAAAGGGGATATAACGCCGTGTAGTCCGGTAAAAGGCAGACTGCAAAGCAGCAAAGCTCTGTTCGTCGCCTGCGTCATGCACGTTTCACGTTTGGTTTACTGTTTGATAACCCTTAAGACTGAGACGACGTTCCTCAGAAACGTCGGTTGTCTTCCATTGGACTTCATCGGCCCTGTCTTCAGTCTCCAATAGACACCGCTGTGAGAACCTCCAATACAGCATGGTGGAAAGCTGTTTTCCCCAGGCACACGCCCGGACGCTACCGTCATCGTGGACCTTGGGCGCTTCTTCAGTTTCTTAATCCTATACATATAGAATTCCTTGGACGGGGGATCAGCTCGTCGCAAGGCCGCTACCTTCACAGGACAACACACACAAAATAAACGCAAACAGACATCCATGCCTAGAGTGGGATTCGAAACCACGATCCCAGTCTTCGAGCGGGCGAGAACGGTTCATGCCTTGAACCGCGCGGCCACTGCAATAGGCATCGTTTTGAAATAAAGTAAAGTTGTCCCTGTGCTTAATTAAGCACTACGCCATGAACGCGTATGTAGGAGTGGATGTACAGATCAACATTTTCTTGACCTCGGCAACAGCTGGAGGTGAGTGGTCAGCTTCACGCGCCGGCCGCTTTATCCCCTGGGAAAGAGCCCCCGGTACCCATTGTATAGGAGGTTGGGTGGACCCCACAGCCGGTGTGGACGACGTAGAGAAGAGGAAATTTTTGACCATACCGGGACTCGAACTCCAACCCCTCCGTCGTTCTTCTTGAAATAACCCACGGAAATAATAATACTCTGTGATAGGAGAGCGGATCGCCTCTGTGGTATAGTGGTCAGAGGTTTCGGATTCGATTCCCGGTGCTACCTTTTTTTTCCCCCTCCCCAGAGATTGTGGGTCTAAAACGGGGTCCACTCAGCCTCGTGAAGACAAATGAACTATTTCAAGCAAATACCGGCTCCGGTGTAGAAAACTGAAATTAACGGTCGTGGGGATTCGTTGAGCTCACCACGCGACATCCTCTATCCGCTAAAATTGGCATTAACTTCGCCGACAAGCGGCGGTCGCTCGGTCGGTATAGTTCGCTTGCGGACTAAAACCACAGAGGTTTTTTTAGTACAGCAAGCCTGAGGTACAAATGACGCAGTGAATGACAACTTGTTTGTATAAGCAAGACGTATGCCTGAAAGTATATAATATACTTTCGTGTATACATTTTATGGTCCTCTGGGCCATGACGTCATGTACATTAGTGGCCAGATGCCATTGTTTTGGAGGAGTGTATTGCCTCAGTCTGTTGAAAACTCATAAGCCAGAACATCACAATATGGTATTTCACTGCAAATCTTATAACCTCCTTGTAGTCATACAACCAGCAACGTTTTGCGCACGTCATATATTACAGGCTTATCGTTACAAAGACAAACTCTGACGTCACAAGAGATTAAATTCGAAAGATGGTCATTACGAGATAGATAAAGCCCTTTTTAATTTGTTTTATATTTTGTGTGGTCAGAATTACGTTGAGTCATTACTGAAGACTGCAAATTGTTAAAAGCGTGACGATTCATTCAGACCAGGAACCTCTTGCGGTGATGAGCTTGTCTTTTGGTCTCTGAATATCATATGATGTAATTTTGTGTCATCACAGTACTTCCTTGAAATTGCGAGCACACACTAACCTGTCTCATGAAGTTAATAATTATTCTTATGTTACTCATAGAAGTCTGCTCACTGGCCTTCTTAATCCTTAACACACGTCCGTGATTATTGCAAGTTGTGATGTTCAGAAAGACCGCCTTTGTGGTCTAGTGGTCAGAGTTCCTCCTGGCTACAGATCCAGAGGTCTGGGTTCGATTCCCGGCGCTACCAGATTTTCTGAGAAGTAGTGGGTCTGGAACGGGGTTCACTCAGCCTCGTGAGGATAATTGAGGAGCTATTTCAAGGAAATAGCGGCTGTGACTAGAAAACCAAAATTAACGGCCGTGGGCATTCGTTGCGCTGACCACGCGACACCGTCTATTCACTAAAGTTGGCACTAACTTCACTGACAAGCGGCGGTAGCTCGGTTGGTATAGTTCGCTTGCGGACTAAAACCACGGAGTTTTTTTTGTGATGTTCAGAAATTCGGAACTAAGTGGTTATTGTGACGGCTAGAAATTAGAACCGTGTGCCTGAAATGTGAAACTGTTCGTCGTGAGAAATTGAAACCCCCGTGTTTCGTGTTTTTTAACAATTCCAAGTCTGTCTGGGTTTAAGCTTCATGTTGCGTAGGAGTTCAGTAGAATCCTAACATCGAAACGTTTCACTCGTTCCAGAGTGTAAACCTCACAATTTTGCGCATATTTTTTGCACTTTTTACGATGTTTGTATAGAAAACAATAAGCAAATGTTGGAGTTAAGGCTTTCACACAAGTGACTGTGACAAACTACTGCCTCCTAAATTAATTAATATCTCAAAATTCCTAATGTTTTAATACCAAACTAACAATTCGCGAACCCGTTTGTGGAAGACATTACTAGGGGCGCGACTGTTAGTTATGATGTTTCTTCGTACTGTTTGTCTAAAGCATTGCGAATGATATTTTAAATTACTGGGATGTGTTTCTCAGAAATAAGCCGGCAATTAACTCCATCTAATCCAGTCAATTGCCGGTCACGGTAGCCGAGCGGTCTAAGGCATGGACTGTCTTCACTCGCTCGGAAGCCGAGATCGTGGGTTTGAATCCCACTCAGGGCATGGATGTTTAGTTTGTGTGTGTGCGTTTTTCTGTGTTTGTGTACAGGTAGAGGCCTTGCGACGAGCTGATCACCCGCCCAAGGAGTCCTACCGAATGTGTAAGATCTAGAAAAACCGAAGTGAACGGAGAAGTTCATGGAGGTAGGCCTAGGCCCACTAGGGCTGTAGTGCCAAGGAAAAAGAAATCCAGTCAATTGACATTTTAGGCCTACCATGAGGTCAGTGGGGAAGTATTTCCTGTAGTTTTTGGTACAATTTGGTGCCAATTAGGTATAGCACAGTTAACGCCGATCGCCACCTAGTGGTACCCCTAAAGCCGAAGGCACTAAGCATATATAAACAACGGGAAATAAACAGTGCTTCCTTTTTAGTCTCCATTAAACTCGTGAAATTAATTCCACTCAGCACGTTCTTAGAGTTCTGTGGTGTACTTCCTTATCGTTAGCTACAGGGGGGTAGTCCTAAAACCCTGGACGGTGTTGCACAAGTTCCAGGTTGAAAGAAATGGGCATGGATCATGATATGAAGCCATCCTTGTGATTACTTTATCATTTAATGACTCAATTTCTTCTAAATAATATATAAATTCAGTTCGTACCTTACAGGAAACACATTACGTCTCCGCTAGAAAACGCAACCGGTTAATACTGTTCAGGGAAACAGCCGCTGTTTACTGTGAGAACCATACGGGACACACAGATACACTGGGTGGGCAGAATATATAGCAATTCAGTCCGTACCTAACAGGAAACACATTACGTCTCCGCTACAGAACCCAACCGGTTAATGCTGTTTAGGGAAACAGTCGCTGTTTATTGTGAGAATCATACGAAACACAAATACAATGTGTGGGCAGAATACAGAATTTTTGTATGTTAAAGCAGTTGGTACATATAGTAACCACTGGGCTTTAATGGGTTAATAATAGCTTTGCCTTTTTAAACGCAGAACTGAAAGACGAGCAGTTTAAGAAGGGGCGTACTTTACTGAGGCTTCTGTCTCAGACAGGGCTGGGAAATTAAACTATGGTTTATTTGTGTTCTTAAAATCATTGCTAGGGCGACACCCCGACACTCGGGTGGGGGTGGGGGGAAGCGTCTCCCCCCCTCCCTCTGGCTCGACAACAGCCCTGGTTAGGCATCGCATTCATCTAACAAATTTGTTATACAGACAGTCGATGCGCGTCACTTTGTGTCTCAAGGTTTTCCAGCTCGTACACGTTCCAACATTACGAAGCTTCGTAATACAGATCGAACCAAATTCAACAAGTTAACTAACTGAACTAACTTCATGGAGCTGAACCCTTCTTGATAAGCCGCCAGCTGTGCGGCTACTGAAGAACTTCCCAACATTCTATGGAACCCGAAGGTTCATCACCGTGTGGTTATCCTGAGCCACATCGATCCAGTCCATACCACTCCATCCTATTTCTCTAAGACCCATTTTAATA